GCCTTGTCCATTCTGGTATTATACAGAAATCATATACACTAAGAGATGTCTCTTCTAGTAACTTGCATGATTTCCGTATGTTTAAACATTCGATCCATTTGAAAGTTATTTTGATTAAGGAATAAGGTAAATATCCAGCATCTCCCTCACCCCATGGCTAATCACTGGTCCTAAGAGTATTTTTCTAATACTCCATTTTAAAAAAAAAAAAAATATTTTGTGTTTTAGGTGGAAGTTTACATAGTAACTTAGGTTCCCCTTTAACAATTTTTATACAAATTGTTCTGTGCCACTGGTTATAATTTTCACAATTTTGAGACTAGTCAGCATTCTCATTATTTCCATTCTGTCTGTTCTGTTTCCATTGATTTAGCCTCCCTTCCCCTCCTTGCCTTCTCATCTTTGCTTCTGGGTGAATGTTGACTGTTTGGTGTCATACAGTTGATTGTTTAAGGGAGCACATTACTCACGGGTGATACTGTTCATTTTATAAGCCAATCTATTATGTGGCTGAAAGGTGACCTCCAGAAATAGTTTCAATTCCAAGTTCAAAGGGTCTCTTAGGGTGGTAGTCTCTGGGGTTTCTCTAGTCTCTATCAGTCCAGCAGGTGTGGCCTTTTTTAGGAACTTGAACTTTGTTCTACATTTTTTCTCCCATTCTATCCGGTGCCTTCAATTGAGTCCCTCGTCAGAATCATCGGCAGTGGTAGCTGGGCACCATCTAGTTCTTTTGGTCTCAGTTTTAGAAGAGGTTGTGGTTCGTGTGGTCTACTTAGTCCTGTGGACTAGTTTCTTTTCTGAGCCTTTGGTTTCTTTCATTCTCTTCTGCTCCATACAAGAAGAGACCAATAGTTGTGTCTTGGCTGCTCACAAGATTTTAAGACCCCAGATGCTACTCACTGAACTAGGATATAGAACATTATCTTTTCTTGCTTGTTTTATTGTGCATTAGGTGAAAGTTTACAGAGTGACTCTGATTCTCATTCGATAGATTGGTGTTTCATTCCCCACAATGTGTCAGCACTCTCCTCATTTCTGCCCTGGGTTCCCTGCTTCTTTTTGTCCTAATTTTCTACCCCTTCCTCCCTCCTCATTTTTGCTTTTGGGCAAATATTGCCCTTTTGATCTCTTATAATTGATTGTTCTAAGGAGTACATTCCTCTCCGGTGTTACTGTTTATTTTATGGGCCTGTCTATTGTTTGGCTGGAGGGTAGTCTCCAGGAATGGTTTCAGTTCCAGGTTACAAAGGTGTCTTAGGGCCATAGTCTCAGGGGTTTCTCCAGTCTCTGTCAGACCAGTAAGTCTGTTTTTTTTTTTTTTGTGAATTTGATTTTCTGTTCTACATTTTTCTCCCACTCTATCTGGGACCCTCTGTTGTGATTCCAGTCACAGCGGTCAGTAGTGGTAGTCAGGCACCATCTAGTTCTTCTGGTCTTGGGGTTGTGTAGGCTGTGGTTCATGTGGTGTAAGAACATTATCTTTATGAGCTATGTTATACCAACTGAATAAGTTGTCCCCCTAGACTATGGTACTAAGCTTTTTAACCCAGTAAACCAATCCTCTGAGTTGTTTGGGTATGTCTAGGAAGTCTATGTAACTGTACCCCTGATGCGCTTTGTTATATTATATAAGGATATATATGCAGCATACACAGGCAGCACCACTCTCCTGGTGCAGCAGTGGTTAACAGCTTGTCTGCTAACTGAAAGGTCAGCAGTTCGAATCCACAGCTGCTCCCTGGAAACCCTATTTGCCAGTTTTACTCTGTCCTACAGCATTGCTATGAGTTGGAATCGATTCAATGGCAATGGGCTTGGTTTGGTATGCAGCACACACAAACATGTATATACATATGCCTACAGATACACCTATATATGCACATTTACTCACATATGCCTTCTGATACAATATGCATACATATCTATCATGTAACCACATGCATATTTTTTAGTTGTTGTTACCACTGTTGCAGAATTGTATATGTTATAGCATTTACTGAAATTGGCCCTTTTTCTTGTGTACTTTAGTGTCTCTATTTACCCTGGTCAAGTTGCGCTGACTTCACTCATATTTGGTCTCGTCTTTCCCATCACCCAAAATAACAAATGTCTATGATCTAGGAAGTGTTCCCCTCTTCCTCTCATCCCTGGCAACCATCAAACAGTGTTACTTTCTATGTGTTTATCTATTCTTGATGTTGTGGGCCCATACAATATTTGTCCTTTTGTGATTATTTCACTCAGCATAAGGTCTTCCAGATTCATCCATGTTACAAATGTTTCGCTGACTCCTCACTATTCCTTATAGTTGCAATAATATACCATTGTATGTATGTACCAGTTCGTTTATCAATTTATCTGTTGATGGGCACTTAGGTTTTTTCTATCTTTTTGCTACTGTGAATAATGCAATGAACATAGATGTGCATATGTCTATTCATGTCTCTGCTCTTACATCTCTTGTACATACCTAGAAATGGGATTGCTGGATCATAAGGTATTTCCATTTCTAGCTTTTTGAGGAAGTATCATACTGTTTTCTATAGTGGTTGTACCATTTTACAATCCCAACAGCAATATATAAGAGTTCCAATCTCCCCACAACCTTGCCAGCATTTGTTTTCTGTTTTTTTCATCACTGCCATTTTTGCAGGGTTGTGATGGTATCTCATTGTAGGTTTGATCGGCATCTCTCTAGTGGCAAACGGTTATGAGCATCTTTTCATGTATCTGTTGGCCACCTGAATGTCCTCTTTGGTGAAGTGTCTCTTCATGTCCTTAGCCCATTTTTTCATTCGATTGTTCACCTTTTTTGTTGTTGAAGCTTTTATATATTTTAGAGATTAGACCATTATCAAATATGTCATTACCAAAGATTTTTTTCTGAGTTTGTACATTCTCTTTGATAAAGTCTTTTGATAAACGTAGGTCCCAGTTATCTAATTTATCTTCCGTCGTTGGTGTGTTTTTAGATGTGTTTGATAGGTTGTTTATGCTGAAAACCAGGTCCCCTAGTTTTGTCCCTATGTTATCTTCCAGCAACTTTATAGCTTTAGCTTTAACATTTAGGTCTTTGATCCATTTTGAGTTAGTTTTTGTGCATGGTGGGAGGTAGGATCCTGTTTCATTTTTCTGCCAGCACCATTTGTTAAAGAGGCTGTTTCTTCCCCATTTAATGGACTTTGACCCTTTGTTGAAGAGCAGCTGCCCACAGATGGACAGATTTACTTCTGGGTTCTCAATTCTATTCCACTGGTCTGTGTGTCTCTCATTGAACCAACACCAGGTTGTTTTGATTACCACAGCTGTACAGTAAATTTTGAGATCTTCTTCAGTATTGCTTTAGCTATTTGTGGCCTCTTTACTTCCTATACAAAGTTGGAGATTAGTTTTTCCATTTCATTAAAGAATGTTGTTGGGATTTGGATCGGGATTGTGTTATACCTATAGATTACTGTGGGTAGTATTGACATTTTCACAATGTTAAGTCTTCCAATCCATGAGCATGGAATGTTTTTGCATTTATGTAGATCCCTATTAGTTTTTCGCAGTAGTGTTTTATAGTTTTCCTTGTATGTCTTTTACGTCTCTGGTTAGGTTTATTCCTAGGTATTTTATCCTTTTGGGTGCTACTGTAACTGGCACTGTTTTCTTGATTTCCTTTTCAGAGTCCTCCTTGTTAGTATAGAGGAACCCAACTGATTTTTGTGTGCTGATTTTGTACCTGCCACTTGGCTGAATCCTTCTACTAGTTCCAGTAGCTTTCTTGTGGAGTCTCTTGGATTTTCTATGTATAGGATCATGTCATCTGTGAATAAGGACAGTTTTACTTCTTCTTTCCAATGTGGATACCCTTTATTTTCCTTCCTTGCCTTATTGCTCTTGATAGGATTTCCAGTATAATACTGATAAGAGTGGTGATAAAAGACATCCTTGACTCATTCCCATTCTCAAGGTCATTCTCAAAGTCTTTCTCCACTGAGAATAATGCTGGCTGTCGGTTTTGCATATATGCTACTCCTTTATTTTTTCGCAGTGATTTGAAATGCAGCCTTTATCACGTTGTAATTTTCATGAATTAGATCTATTTCTACACTCTTCTCTGTTTCATTGATCTGTTTACTGTGCCAATATCATAGTGCTTAAATAAGCACAGCTTTAAAATAAGGTTACTATTTTACTTAGTAGGACTCATTTTTCATATGCCTTCCTCATTCATTAGCACTATTCTCTTCTCAAACTTCTCCTATTATCCTCACTTGTTAATTCTGAGAAATGAAGTCTGGGACTAATTTGTCAAATTACAAAAACAAAATCTCATAAAAATCAAACAACGAAAGATTGTGATAGGGATTACGCTGAATTTATATTAATTCAGAAGAAACGACATATTTACAATATCCAGGAATAAGGTAGTACTTTCAAATCAATTAAACATATAGAACTGCTTTCAGAATCGTATTTCCCTGGTGTTTGTTAGTTAACACATACACAGTAAAGGCCTACTGAAAAAAATTATGTTTATTATCAGCAAAATAATTTAAATCAAAAGTAAAAGTTGTCAGAAAACAGTCTGGCAGTTCTTCGAAGAGTTAAATGTAGAGCAACCATGACATAACTCCACTCCTAGGCATACACCCAAGAGAACTGAAGATACATGTTCACACAAAAACTTGCACACAAAGTTCACAGCAACATTATCCACAATAGCCAAAAGGTGGACAACTCAAATGTCCATCAATATTTGATGAGTGGATAAAAAAATGTGGCATATGCACAGAATGGAGTAGTACTCAGCCACAAAAAAGGGATGAAGTACAGACACCTGCTATCAACCAAAAACCAAACCCGTTGCTGTCAAGTTGATTTGACTCATGGTAACCCTACAAGACACAGTAGAACTGCCCCATAGGGTTTCCAAGGAGCGGCTGGTGGACTCGAACTGCCCACCTTTTGGTTAGCAGCCAAGCTCCTAACCACTGTGGAAAACATTATGCTAAGTGAAAGAAGCCAGACATAAAAGGCCACACATTGTGTGATTCAGTTTATATGAGATGTCCAGAATGGGCAAATCCAGAGACAGAAAGTACATTAGTAGTTGCCACTGAGTAGGGAGAGGGAAGAATTGGGAATTAAAGGTTACTTTTTGAGGGTGATGGAAATGTTCTAAGATAATGGTGTTAGTTTATAACACTGTGAATATACTAAAAATCACCTAATTTTATACTTCAAAATGGTTAAAATGGTGAGTTTTATGTTACATGAATTTTATCTCAATTAAAAAAATTACAAACACACACACAAACAAAAAAAGTTGTATAAAATCCACTGACCATTTTCTGTGGTATTGATGCAAAATTAGGATATCCAAGCACATCCTCTATGAAGTTATTGTCGCAGCTTTTTCCAATCCAAATATAAAACACCTAAAACCAAAAAGCAACAAAATATTAAAACTCCCTAATCAGGCAAGAAAACCCATCATAGCAAGTTGTCGTTACTGTTACGTGCTAT